AGTATAGAAGAAACGAAATAAATCGATCTGGTTTTAACAACAATCCAAATTAATCAGTAAAAAAATTACTAAAATTTAAATTTTATATGGCTTTGTGGTGCTCGTTTTTGTATTTACTTTTTATTTTCATTATTTTTTTTCATATTGTGCTTCTTTTGACATTTGTCACATTGATGGTCACAGTTTTTTCTTCATCCACGGATTCTGAAATTTTGGTATTCTTACATGTTTGTACTGTGTCTAATTCGAAAATAAAAATATAAGATTATATTTATTTGAAACTTATATCTTGTGTACTTTTTAACCAGGTTTTATGGACAATGTCTACTGTTATCATGTTTATGTCCTCGGGATCCAAAAACTCTACGACGGCGTTATTCCATCACCATCCGAAGAAAAATCGTCTAATTAACATTACAAAATTCATTTCTGTGTTCTTTTATCTATGGTTTAATTTAACATTGAAATATAATAATGTAGCAAACCGAGAAATATTTTTATCCCATTGTCCTTTTCTATCATTATAGCATTCTGTTTCAAAATTCCTGGAGATACTATCTTCATCCCTGAGTGTCTATCGTTTCCTTTATAGGCACCAATTATGCCAAGATTACAGGGCTGATCACTGAGTGGTTCACATCTTTCATAAAACCTACACATTAGTTGTTTACGGTTATTTCCATCGTCAATGTTTGTAGTGCTTACTACTTCACAACACGACGAATCGGAAATAACGTAGAAGTTATTCGGTCTTTTTGTTTCTATATTGGCTTCTTTGACAGATTAAGCAGCTTGCTTTACATTTTCAATTTCATCCAAACGCTTGGCTATTTGTACAATTGAATTTTTCCCTGACCGAACCATTCGTTTTATTCGTTGCATGAAGTTCTCAAATGGAAAAGCAGAAAACGCATCTAAATTTCCAACTTTTACAGCATCTGATGTGATATGAAGCATGCTGTGTACATTATACACAATGAATTTTGGACCATATAAATTACGCCCCATTTCAACGAAATATTTCAAAAGCGCATTTGCATACTGGTGATGTCGTTGTAGTAGATTTTCGGAGGCTAAAATGCAAATGGCAACACTAAATTTCATAAAATGTAAATATAAATCTTCCCTTAATATCCCTTTCAATACAATTTTCCCCGTGCATAGTAAGAATTGTCTATACTTAGTTGCTTGCCATCTGTCTATTTCGCACAAACTCCTTGGCTTTCGTACAAATTCGCGCGATATGAATCTTTGCAGACCTAGTAATCGATTGCTGATTTGTTCTGAATGCAATGCGGAAATTTTAACTTCTTTTTTCCCTCTAATCCAAATCAAAATAAGTCTCTTCATTACCCCTAAGCAGCATTGATGCATGTAATCAATGGGAAATTGTGCAATCATATCAATGTCTAAAGTGCAAAAAGGGGAGTCCCGATTATGATGATCGACTTTAGTTTGTCTGTGGAAAGAATCATTTGTACGGACACTTAAATCATCAGTGTCCTGATAAGTCATACGTCCGAACCAGTTTCCTCTTTGATCACATCTATCACACCCAAAGTACCCCGAATACAGTTTTATTCCTTTTACCATACATTTTACTGGAGCATCACAAACAACACATCTTAATTTTATTTTAATGTTTACGCCACTGTACATTAGTCCATTGTGCATTATATTGTCCAAGTCAGTTATGGTATCATGTAAAAAAATCAAGATTGGCAGGTTTTGTTTGACCATAACTCAAAGCAACGGGGAAAATTAGCAAAGGGTCAAGGTGAACAGCACAAAGTACTGACCACGAATATTTTGATGAGCTTTTAAAAAGAGGTAATCCATCAATATTTAGTGAAATTTCTAAATTTGTTATGTTATCTCGAACTTCTTGTGGATATTTATCTATGACATTAATCAATTGGTCTGACAATGAATAATATAGATATTCCATTCCAGATTTCATTTCAGTAACAATATTGCGTTTTGTTTTAAGAATTGTTCTAGCGATTGAAAGAATGTTAAAATGACCATGGTTTTGCAAAATCTTTATCAAATTGTCAACAGCATTACGTTTTATCTGAAATTCGTTAATCCAAGCAACCAAATCGTCGCACAAAGTTTCCATGTATGTAGATATCCCAGTTTGAAGTATTGTCATTTAGACTTATAGGTGTCTCTGGGGTGAAACACATTGTACTACATTCTTCATTTTCGTCTGACCTACTTTCGTTGACAATAATGGGTTAGTCAGGGGTTGTGATATACTTTGAAGTTGTTGTTTGACTGGCATTATCACTGTCGGACGAATGTATTGCAGTTTTGCGTGGTGGTTTCCGATTTAAAGCTCGACTAGCCTCTATCCACTTTCTGTTATAGTCTAATTGTCTTTGCTTTCTTTTTCTTTGCTGTTCGTCCATTCTGAAATTTGTGTACGTACTTAATAGGACCATATACACTATTTATACTTTGTACTTGTTTGGCTCTATAACTATTTTGATCGGAGCGTCACTGATGAGTCTTATGCAGACGAAACGCGCGTCTGGCGTATTTAATTATAATCCTGGTACCTTTGATAACATTTTATAAAGAGACTATACAGAACTGTGAAATAAAAATGGAAGGCAGTGGCTATTTTACTTCTGTTTTCCAACAGCTTGCAAAATAGCCACTGCATTGAATTTTTGTTTTACAGTTTAGAGTTAACGATTTGGTCACAGATAAATGCAATTCAAAGAAAAGACTGTTAGGGAGCAACAATTGAACTTCAAGGAGGGTAATGGTTTTTGCTTGAGTCAGATTTTTTTCGCGCAAAGTGCGAACAATTTTATTCAATTTTTCAACGATATCAATCAAATCATTTTGTTCAAATTTAACACTATTAGGTATGGGACGAATCTGGATTCAGAATATTTTTTGTCCTGTACTTGAACAGAATATTTTGTTTTGTCAATTTTAAAAGAGACGTGGCTTGCTGAATGGCGCTAAAATTTCACCACAATCGCGACACAGTAGCATCCATCATCTGGGTCAAAATTTAAAACAGATGCGCGGATATATACATAGATTTAAAACTAATAAATATCGTTCATTAGTTCTACCAATAAATGAACAAGAAAAATTTAAATTAAATTTAGTACAACAAAAGAAAAAATAGTAAAAGAAGAAATTTTGCTTTTGTAAATTTTAGGGATGTCGATAATTACGTCGCAACAACGTTTTAATTACGTGATTTATTTGATCGGTGTAAAGTACATATTGCAGTTATTTATTCTTTACTTTTTTTATTATAACGATGTATTATTGATGACAAAAACATAGTTCCTCTTTTATAACAGCGTAAAAATCAACTTAATACTTTATCGACCAAAACAATGAAGACGTTGCTATAACGTTACAGATACGTGACAGATGTGTCACAATATGACATTGCAACAACGTAATATGAACGTTATTAAAAACAATAAAACAATGTTGTCCTGACGTCGGTTCTACGTCGTATCTGACGTGACGTAAAATTACATTCTCACAACGTTGCAACAACGTCGTACTAACGTAACGTCAGTCATGACCTTCCAGCGACCAATACATAACGTCGCAAGGACGTCATGTGTTTCCTGGGGGTATGATTGCCGATGGGAAAACTCTCCACAATGTTCATTTGTAATTCAGATGTTTTCTAGTAAACTGCAGATAACCCAGTTTCATCTTTGAATATCTTTTTGTCGGTACTTTGATTTTCTTGATAATAAATGTAAATATATTCAGTAGATCTATATATATTGCTTTACACTTATGACCACTTATGGTCCTTAATTTCGATTACTAAAAGTGTGGCATTGCGCAAGGTCGTACTTATTTTACACTTGAAATTTGTGTAAGTGAAAAGATGAGTGACTCATTAGTTATAAATAGCTTTGAAATACTTTTCAATAACGTAAAGTACTTCTAAATTGATATCTTATGCATTTTGGTCCAAGTGTTTCAGCTACACCACTGTCCCATTAGGGTGAGAGTTTGTTGCGCGTTGAATATTTAATCCCACCATACTTTGTATACGCTTGTCTCGGGTCAGGGTTTATTTTCGTTCATCAAATCATCATTAAACTGTTTGTTTTTTTTTTTTTTTAAGAAATATTATTCATTTTGTATGTTGAAGCCTTTCACAACTTTTGCCACGTGGCACGGTTTTGTTTATTGTTTAATGTCAAATGGTGACAAGCAGCTACTTATATATATAGATGTCATTTAGTTTATTTATGGATAGTGTGTCTTTAGTGATAAAAACGGGTTTTTTTTTAACTTTTTTTTATATTAATAACAACAACAACAAAAAACAAATGCCACTGTTTAAATCAATCGAGCTTTGCATTGTTGAAGAAATAGAAAACAGGAATGTTTTATGTTGTGTCATGTGTACTTTTATTTGTCTGTTTGTCTTTTTCATTTTTAGCCCTGGCGTTGTCAGTTTATTTTCATTCTATTAGTTTGACTGTCCCTCTGGTATATTTCGCCCCTCTTTTGTGCCCACGAATTAAAACCAATCATTCAATTTATATATGTATTAGTATACACTCGATGACGTCTGAACATTTACTTGTTCTCAAAAAGCTTATAGATGCCATTATCGAATTCCTATTGGCATATATGTTAAAGTATTCAAGGTCGTCTCCTTTTGGTATATGTTATTCAGAATTGAATTTAAAAGTGTATTTATTATGACGAAAATCATAATATCATAATAATACATGTTTTAATTGTTTTCCTTTTCCCCCAAAATTGTATTTACTGCTTATATGCAGCTAAACAAACAGTTTAAATTCAAATATTTTTTCATAAAGATAAAGCGCTTCAAAAACGTTTCGTTAAAAAGTTAATACGTAAACATTTGAAAATAGTAATATGAATAAAATAATTGGTAAAAGAAAATACATAAAGAACTATCAAACCTATAAACTATCCATACTATTTAACCTTTAAGTTGCCAAACCTAAAGACTGTGGAGATATAAACCCAGCACATTGTAAAAGTGGAGTATATACGATCTTCCCGCCAGGACTTAAACCATTTGACGTCTACTGTAAACTGACCAATCAAGGGAAAGCTTGGACAGTGAGTTTAAATATATAAAACGTTCAAAAAACCAAACAGACGTTTCTTAAGAAACGATTTATTTGAATATAAGTATGCGTCGCAGATTCCAAACAATTAATGAATATTTTTTACTGTTGACTAACACATCAAAACGTTAATCATGTTAATGATTACATTGTCTTAAATATCATCAATCATGCATAACATTCTGTAAAGTTGGATCGAATGATCTCTTCAGTTCAACAGTTCAACAACCGGTCAGTTAGTATGCAATAGAAAAGACACATGTGTACAAATATACTTTACTTACTCTATGAAAGTATAACATTTATCTATAAAAGTATAACAGTAATTACCAACGGACAGAACAAAATACCACAGTAGTTGTTATCAGTGACTCCTTCGTGAGATAATATACCAAGATAATCAACAGACAAAAAAAATCTATTCATTTTATATGTATCTATTACGTTACGTTGGTATTTTATTCAGGTTATTCAAAGACGATTTAATGGAAAAATAGATTTCTACAGAACTTGGAAGGAATATGAACACGGGTTTGGTAATCTTAAAGTAGAACACTGGCTTGGTAGGTTCATACTAAAAGTGTAATTTTTATTAAACAAGTTCCTCAAATTGGGTTTGGTTTTTCAAATACTATTTTGTTATGTGACCCTTTAATGATAGCTTAAAGAATATGATATAGTGTTGTATTAAAATAGAATAAAATATACATATACCGTCCTAAATAGATGTTAGTTTTAACTTTCTGGAATTCCTTTTCCATTATATATTCATATAGGATTTTTGTTTGTCTTACAGGTTTAGGTTTTCTTGTTTCGGGTATCTAAATTCATGTCATTTAATCTTGATCATTAATGTAAATACATTGTATTTTGTACATTATTTGTTTATGCTTATTATTTATCGTGTATATCCTTCGTTTGTAGGTAATGATAAAATGCATATTTTAACTTCCGGAGGTAACTCTGAATAAAGAATAGATCTTACGGATTTCGAAGGAGAGGCCAGGTGTGCTTTATATAGGAAGTTTTCAGTTGGAGATGCAAAATCAAAACAAAATACAAATTGACAATTAGTGTTTATAGTGGAAATGCAGGTATGTAATTAAAATAAATCATATTGCAATTCCATTCCTATCGTGCGCTGTTTAGAATGTTCCCGTCTATGGAATAAAAAGACAAAGCAATTTGGTTTTAACTGAAAAAAGAAAAAACAATGCCCAAAAGTCCGATAAAAACTTCAAAATGTTTTAACAATACCTTTCATATTTGATAACAAATAAGTTAAGAGTAAATTTTGTGTGTCTCAAAAATTTCAGTTGATGACGAAAAACTACTCACAAAAATAAACAAATCAAAAAATCAAAAAAAAAACACACATATAAAAACCGTTCACATTTACAACTTATGTGGCAAGGTTCGATTCCATAACGCCTCAGTAATGACTGGTTATTAATTTCATAATCATGCTTTCTTACATAGATATAAGAAGATGTGGTAAGAGTGCCAATGAGACAACTCTCTAATCCAAGTCACAATTTGTATAAGTAAACCATTATAGGTCAAAGTACAGTCTTCAACACGGAACCTTGGCTAACACCGAACAGCATCTATAAAGGTCCCAAAAATTGACATGTGCAAACAATTGCAGCGTGTTTAAACGTTTTAATAGGTACCAACCTTCGCCCTTATCTGAAACAATAGTGTAAAAATACAACATAAAAAAGACACTTTAAAATATCAATTGAAATGGCTAAACTCAATCAAAAGACACATTGACACAAGTGAACATACACTGAACGAATACATTTGATCTATGACACAATATAAATACAAAATCAATAAAATAAGTGTCTTCCTGTGGAGTTTTACCTTGTACACTGACAGATTAAAAATCTGGCTCAGCGTATTGCTCTAATATTCATATTACACAAACATATTGCATAAACATATGATCGTGCTGAAAATACATTTAAGGTACCCTGCACATGAAGCGTACCATCATCAACATAATGCCTTGTTCTATAAATCCATGTACATGTATGCACGCGGTAAATATTATAGTCATACTCCGAACAAAACACAATGATCGTTCAACTTGCTTGAGTTTATCCTACACAGTAATTATTCCCTTTTGCCAACAACCTTAAAACTGGAAAACAACTTCTGCAGTGGAAACTATGACCACTTTTTTTTTAAATTAAACGGGCAAAAAGCAAAGGTAAAATTAACATGCAATAAGATTTGAATGCAGTCTTACAGTTTGAAATTCGTCTGTTACAGGAGATTTCTTATCTGGTCATAATGGCATTCTTTTCTCGATTACCGACCAGGACAATGATAACCATCATATCAACTGTGCGAATTCTTACAATGGAGGATACTGGTATAAAAAGTGTTATCAACCAAATCTAAACAGAGCAAATCTAAAGGAATGGTATGGCCTTGTTGGAGAGGATACAGCTATTCGTTAAAATCAACAGCGTTAATGATACGTAGAACATATATAAAACGTTACTTGATATATTAAATTATACACGTGTTTTCTTTGTCAATTTCTATTCAATATAACCAATTTTGATTTACACATTTCAGTTGCAGTGAACGCGATACTTTTTAGAAATGTCCTTTGCGGTCGTTCTTGGTCTGAAAAACCAACCCCGACCCCATTCACTGAGCGAGTATTATACTACTATCACCTTGCTCGCTAATGACTTTGGGGTTTTTTTTTGTGTAGAAAAGAGTTAATACTTGGACTGATACGCCGTAGTGGTACAGGATTAGTTTTTTTCCAATCCTCTTTCTGCTTGACGGCACTTTGAATGTTTATTTTACTGACTGAGCATGAACGTTATTCGTTCCATTTTACTTTTGTGTTGCAGTATGATGTGATAATTGATCTGAAACTTGTTTATGATAACTTGTAATGTATTACATATTTTTCGATCTGAAATCACTTCCTGTTTGGTTATACCGTAAATGTTTTTTTTTGTAGTACATGTAATTGGACGCTTATATTTTCTTTTTTCGTTATTAGACCAATTATCTCCTGCATATAACATGTATAACTAAGGTTCTTAAAAAAAGTATATTACAATATTTCGGCAATTTTCACACAAAAACATTCATTTAATTTCTCTTCTCTTTTCTCTTTGCCAATTTAAATGTACACGTTTTACTTCATACGAAAACAAAATGTATAAAGTGAACCCTGTGTAAACCGAATCTTGCATAAACCGGAAACCTGTCTAAACCATTCATGATCTTACGCCCAGGAATATCCAATTGTATATCTTGTGAACCTAGTGAAACAGAATATTTGCCATAACAAAGCACAATCTAAAGTCCCCAAGAGTTTCAATTGAGACAGATTTTGCTGTTTCTCTATTGACGCCTTTCTAGAACTGTTTCAGAAAGGTATCATTAAAACCATTACAGTTCTAAAACAGAAACCATTTGTGTGGTGGATATATTTAACAGATTCTCAAATAAAACACCCAGAAATATTAAGGTCCTACGTCAATAAATTGTTTTTTTTTATTTCTTATACTGATGGTTAATTCTTTGTAGAAATGGTTTATCACTCAAACTAATGATTGAAACCAACCCTAGGCATAAATTAAATTAAATAAAACTGTATCTGTACCATATATTTACGGATGTATCAAAAAATGGGACACGAAAAATCTACGTTGAACTGAACTACTTCCGTACTGTAGGTCTTTCCTGTTTTATATATAACATGTATAACACATAGTTGTCCATTTTTTTCACTAAAACATATAGTTATTATTATCAACAAACATTCAATTCATTCTATTACCCAATAATGAGACCATTCTTTCATATACTTTATATTGTGGACATATTGCATAAGGTATATGAGTAACAGACATAAACTCGAGAAACCTTGCTTTGATCAAAGAACAGTAAAAATGTGGTCAATGTCAGAAAAAGCCAAAAAGACAGACATGTGTATCTTGCAACTATTCATACACCAAATAAAGTTGTTTCAATACAGCATTTATCATGTATATTATCAGAATACAGTACTGTAGTATACCATTTTTCGTGGATTACGTTGACATAGTAAAACGTCTTTTTTAAATGTCAACCGAAGAACATACTTTCAAAGGATTGTAAACAGACTTTGTCAAATCAACAAAATCAAATATTGGAGAAAATATAAGTTTTCCTCAAACCAAGAAAATTGGTATCCATAAATAAAAAATGAATCCACAGTATCAGAAAAGCACACTAGACAACACACACATTTTACATTGACCAATAAACAAGGTCAAGATCAGATGGAACCTGTCAGGCAGACATGTACACTTTACAATAATATCATATACAAAATGTAGTGAACCTATTGACTATTGTATTTAGGTTACATTTCTGTATATATAGACATGGCAATTTCTCATAGGAACTCCGTTTACGGCTAAAACTTAGTCACTTTTACTATGAAGTTTCGTAAACAATGTTATCCTAGAATGGAAAGTTAATATGCACTAATTTTTTATTCAAAGGTCAAAATATAGGGCTGTGCGGCATATTTTCAACATTTACATGGCCCGAACTTCTTAAGAGTTTAAACTTATATTAAAATTCTGCACTACCACTCCCTTCACTTTATGTCTTACTCAGAATTCAATTTCACCGCCTTCCATGTGCATTTATACTGGTAACATTCCCAAGTTATATCTCTATGAGATGAGACATGGAGATCATATCTGGGAACCAGTACGTAAACAAAACAAAATATCTATGAATGTTATGTATCTCCCCAAAAGAGGCGTTGTTTATGAAACAGCTATATTTACAAAGTGCAACCTATAAGAAATAAGGCATACTCCAAAAACAGAAATATGTCTAATGACAGATTAAACTTGCCAGATATGCATATATATATCGAACACTTTCACACAACAAATATTATTTGCATGCTGCTTATAGCATCTGAGAAACAATGTTTGAACATTGAGAAAGAAATATGCACAAAACATAGAGATAAGGTATTTTACCTTCTGAATTATGAAGTTGTATATGTCTCTTTGTCCTTTTTTTTATTTTAGCCATTGCGTTGTCAGTTTATTTTCGATCTATGAGTTTGAATGTCCCTCTGGTATATTTCGCCCTTCTTTTATACAAAAAAGTATCGCCTCCGATATATGTTTTTTGTGTACCATATCTGCTTTTACTATTAAATCCAGCTACTGCTGAGAATTTATAGATGATTGCCTTTTCTGATTACATATGAAATCTTGAAATCTTATTGTACGTTAAATGAACCGTTTTATAATGAAATGGATTATGATAAAATGAAGGATAATTTTTTACTAACGAAACTTGATAAAGTAATATAATGGTGTTAACATCCCCGTTAAAATCTAATAAAATTGTCAATTTCTTGTTTTCTTCAACTTTATCTTAATAATGACAAGGTCCATAATATACACAGATCAAGTTGTAGACAGATATCCCTACCCCATCCATCTGGTAATTATTTGATTGTACGAGATATACATTAAGATCACAAGTAAACGAATTGTGAGATGAAACGGCAATATTGGCCTAAATCGCTCTTTCAAGGCTTAGCAATGAATTATATGCTTGCTCCGTCTTTCAGTCAATTCTAAAAGTTATCCAAAAGGGTAAATTCAGCTTCTGAAAAATCTGAATTTAAAAACACAAAGAGTGTTTTTCGAGTTTTCTTTATTTTCTATATAAGTTCTTGTTGTAAATCCAGTACTGTTCGGACAATTGGCAACCGAGATATGTTTAATCTAACAATGTCTATGTTAGGACAATACTATAGTTATTGTTTACCAATATAAAAAATCTACATGGCGGTTTGTTTACAAAGCTTAGGACAGTATTCAAATGAGTGCAATGCATTTGAATTAAACAGTACAGCAAGTTCAACAAGAGCGAATATGAAAACTAGTTTGAACTCTTTAACATGACCTTTTCCAGTACGGCCTTTCAAGATATTATTAAGATTATAATAGCAGTCAGTTGAATTTGCTATTGGGTTCTATGTGACTATTAATAATATTTAATAATAAACATTATTTTTTATTTGAACAATGTCTTACTATAAAATAGATGTATACTAGGTCGCAATACAACTATCTTAACCCAGAAGAAGCATATGTATGCATGATATGTATGTTTAACATTTAAATGAAATATTTCATTTTCAAACTTTTTCAAACTTCAACATGTTCAACATTCAGAAACTTCAACTTCATTTAAACATAGACTTTAGGATAATCCATAAATCCATACCTTTCTATCTCTGACTTAAAATCTTACAGACGCATGGCTGAACAGAATGAGAGAAAAGTTTCTGAAAAAGGAAAAAAAAACTGTATCATTCTGCGTGAAGAAACACTCAAAAACAAATGTAAGGTTTTTGATAACGAAAAGCGTTGGTAATGTTAGTATTCATACTAGCATGAAACAGATTTCAAAGTAGAAGATATCTTCTTAATTGAAATTTCAACAGTTTGTCTACAGAAAAGAAAACATTACTCATTAACGTCTATTTATGTTTCCAAAATGAGAAAAATTACAAAATTAGAAGCAGTTTGTTATTAAAAGGCAAGCACTCCTATAACATGTATAAGAAGACGTTTGAAAATGTCTGTCCTAATGAACAGTTGGTAGATCTTTTATTTTATTCTGCAAGTTATGCCCTTTCGGGTTTTTCTTTATCTAAAACATTTTTCAAAATATTAGACACACCTTAAATTTACCGATATGGTCTATGCTTAGCCTTGGCGGCCATGTTGATTGGCAGACAGGATTATCCAGCACATTTGTTTATAAGGTATCAAAATAATGATGATTATGGTGGTTTGGTCCCAATTGGCCGAGTTATTTCACAGGAGAAGAATTTTGTGAAATTAACGGATGATTGATGACCACAGGATAACTTTGATGACAGACTGCAGGTTATCAGAAAATTCCTTTGGGCAAGGTGAGCGAAAAAGGCATTTATAATTTTGAAAACAAAGATAACTTATAAATTCTCTATTATTTTTCCATAAATCATCCTCCATATAATGAAATAATTCTCAACTAACCTATAAATATCCACATCATTTAAAACATTTCCCTTTACAGTGTTAACTCATATTTCTCTGTACTTGTATATAAATTTTTAAAGTCACAAATGCCTGCATGCTCATGGCAAATCTCTTCTCTATTATCTATGCAAAAACACTTAAGATGACTTCAGCCATATTCAAATTTAATTTTTTTTTAAAAGTGGAGATTTATTTCTTTATTAAAGGGCCAATCCATTTCAAAGATTAAGTTTTTGCAGTTGTTTTATTTATGATTCTAATCATACTTATGATCACATTCATTTGATCAGATATTATTATAATTTTACTTTACTTACATAGTTTTGTAAATATTCTTCTTTACAATCTATAAACGTGACAGCTTCATAAACACCATCATGATCATACTATATCATACGTTTATAAACTAAGAAAACAAAAAAAATACTAATCTGTTTTGACACAAAC